TTATTAAACAAAAGTTTATCATTATTACATTAACAATCTTTAAGATATATAGAAATTAAGTTAATTGTAGCCTATTGCAACTTTTCAATTAGTACGTAATGGCACCAAATAGGTGTTTGCATACTAAAGGTGTTGAATGGCTAATGCTTATTCAAAACAATAATACTATGGCTGGTGTAAAAATTTTTTTGTCAATGAGATTGTTCGAGTTTTTTAAAGTGTTGGGTACTTTTTGGAAAGTACTTTTGTTTAAGAAGTTAGTATTAGAAGTTGTAGCTGAGGTAGTAGTTTTTTTCCACTTGATTCCTGAAGTTATTGAAATGGTAGCAGTTGCTGAGCACTGTTTCCAGATTTTGTTCAAAATTTTGAGAGAGTGATTTGAGATGTCTTCTTTTTTCTAAATAATATTAAAGGGGTTATTAAACTTGTCAAGAGCTAGATTGAGTTTTAAATTTCTTTTTATATTTTCAAGTATATAAACTTTTTTCTAGTTTTTTTAGAGATTTTTGCCTATTTCAGTTTAATCCTGAATTTTTGGTTACATTAAAATCTTTGAATGATAATTGGTTTGAATTTTGAATTAGTTGATTTATATATAACAAGAAATATAAACAAGACATGTAAATCCCATATGTTTCATTTTATATAACTTATATATAATGATATAATTGATAATAGTAGAAAGAGCAAGATAATGAAATATATTTTTGATAAAAAAAATGATTTGATGCTTTTCTTCTTCTTTCTTAAACTAGTTTTATTTCTTTTTAAAATTAAAAGAAGATTTTATTTCAATTCAGTAATAAGCTAACTTTATTATTTATTATTTCAAAAATAATTAAAAAAAAGATCTTAAAACTATTATTGATTAAATGAAATTATAAATTCTTAAAGAATCAATTGAAAGAAAAATTGCCAACTAAAATATCAATTTTTTCTAAAGATTAAAAATATTCAAGTATAAAGTTTTAAGAAATATTTTTTTGAAAGTACTTTTAAAATATTCTTAATCAACAATAGAATAATAGAAATTAAATAATTTTCTAGTTGCAAGTAGTTAAACTAAATAGTAATCAAGAAAAGTTTTTGTTTTATTAATACAAATTTTTTTTTTCTTTTTTATCTCTTTTTCAATTTTTTAAAAAATAAAAATTTTTTATCTTTATAAAATCATAGCAATTATATAGGAGTAATAGTTTTAAGTAAGAGTTAACTATGATATTTTAGACTAATAGAATATTTCAAAATAAAATAGAATAATTTTTCTTATTTTTTATAATCATACTTAAAGACTATAGGCTTAAGATAGGTGTGCTACAAAGCAACACAATAATTTATCTTTATTATAGTATTTTTAATACAAATGTATAAATGTTTTTTGACAAATAAGATTAATAAACTAATGACATACAGCTTGGTTTGAAGTAAATATATATACAGTATATACTGTATATATACTGTATATAATAAAAGATAGTTTTTTTCAAAGTTACATTTAAAATATTAGTTAAAGAGAGATATCAAGGCAATAGAATAGTTTATACAATACAATACATTATATATTATTGGTTTTTTATAAAAATCCAATAAACAGTATATATTTGTTTAACTGTAAATTAAAAAAAAATAAAAAATATTTTGATTTTTTATAAACCAAATAAATTTTTTTGATTTATAATTATTTTTTTTAAAAAATTATTATAGTATTTTTTTATTTATAATTTTAAAAAAACTTTGATATTATATTATTTACTTGAAATTTTATATTAATTTATTAAGTTATATAATAACAAAAGAAACCAGTTTTTTTGTTACACATTGTATATATATTTAAAATAATTTATAATACGTAATTATCTTTAAATTTGTTAATTTAAAAAATTAAATTAGTTAGCAATGTTTAAGAGATTATGCATTACACGCCCTTTACTTTTTTATATAAAGTTAGAATTACGTGTAGTATAAACTTTTTCTCATTCCAATTTGAGAAATGTACTGTATGCAAATTACTATAAAAGCAATCGATTATCGATTATCAATTACTACGCGACAAATATATTTAATCAGCTAAAAAAAACTGGCTTGATAATGCAAATCTAAAATGGCCAAATGCAAAAATCCGAACCTGTCTTCTTTACGAACATTGATTGTCGATAATTACGATTCTTATACATTTAATTTGTTACAACTTTGGGATAATGAAGAAAGTGTCGGGAACGTAGTGGTGGTTCGAAACGATCAATTTTCCTGGTGCCCGAATTGTTAAACTCCCTCAAGCTTTCTTAGAGCAAATGTTCTAATGAACCGTGATCTCTTCAATATAGGACCGATTTTACTAAGAATATACTTCCGAATTTTGATAATATTATAATTTCACCTGGTCCTGGAAGTCCAGAAAACGTTTCGGTAAGCCTTATGCATACAGTACTCTGTCTTGTGAAAATGACTAGCTGACATTATAATTATATAGGACTTTGGGATTTGTTCAGAAATCCTTAAATTGAATAATATTCCAATTTTGGGTGTATGTTTAGGGCACCAAGGTATCGGATTCACTTTTGGAGGCGAGGTAAGCCTTTCATTTTGTACATGTTATTTTTCTGATCCATTATGTTTGCTCAACGACTTTAATGATAGGTGACGAATGGAACAAGGATCATGCACGGGAGGCTAAGCCCTATTTATCACGAAGGAACATCTAAAGCAGATTCACTATTTTCGGGGATTCCGAGTCCATTTTTGGCTGTTAGATATCACAGCCTAGTGATAAATAGTAAAGGTACTTAAATGTCTATAAAACGCGGACAAGAAGTTACGTAAGATAAGTTAAATCGTTATCGCAACAATCATATAGATTTTCCATCAGACCTACAGATTTCGGCCTGGTGTCCGGAAGTAGATGATTTGCAAGAATGCTCACCAAGTTCTTTCCTCCCAGCAAAGGAGTCAAGTACAGTTATGGGATTACAACACGCGTATAAACCTATTTATGGCGTTCAATTTCATCCAGAGGTAAAATTATCTGGTATATATTTTCTTCGTGTTGATTTTGATTCGTCTTTACTGTAGGTTTATTCTTATTATTTATTATATTAGTCCATATGTACTGAATACGGATTTCAAATTCTGAGAAACTTCCAATTACTATCGCGAGCATTTTTAGAAAGGGTATGCATTGAATTTTTTATGATTTTATTTTTGTTATCAATATTGACTTATCGTTCACGGCGTTTATAATAGCGTGGAATATTATTTCCGCGACCGGTGCTTCCCGAACACATAAAATCTTTTTCGGTAGTCCCAGAAAAAAAAAGTAGTCTTTTTACTAAGAGGTTAACCCACACTGGTGGTCCAATGTATAATATTATAATGAAGAAACTTGAGAAAGATATATATTTTGATTCATCATTAATTTTTCAAAAAGTAGTGTCTGCTGACAACTCCAAAGTTGGAATATGGTGGTTAGACAGCTCTAAGGTAAAATATGATCATAACTAATTTTTTTTGTTGCTTGTTATTAATTTATGCACGTGTATGCCACAGTTACTGGATCCACAAAGTCGGTTTTCGTATATGGGATCAACTCCAGTACCATCAAATTCATTTTCTATATCTTACAATACGCTTCGTAAAAAGGTGATAATCACTTGTTCGGATGGAAGAATAATAACGGAAAATTTATCAAATGATCAAACATATTGGGACTGGATGTCAGGGACGATGGAAATTTTTAATCAGCATATTACTGGATTACGAATAATACATTGTGATGGATCAATTAAAAACGTTGAACAAAGAATACCTTTTGATTTTAGACTTGGAATGGTTGGGTATTTTGGATATGATATGAAACGTGAATCTATGCCAGGTTATATTATTCCAAAGGACCGTCAATCGTCATCATGCACTAGTCCTGACGCAGCTTTTATTTTTGCAACGCAAGCGATTATATTCGACCATGTTGAAAAACGTATGTGGCTAGCTGGACTGGCTCGTGATGGTCCTAGTGACCTAGTTTTATCGAAAGATTCTGTTCTCGGCATTCCTATTGGTCGCCCTTTAGCAGATCTTCTCTCTTGGATAAATTCAACCGAAAAACAATTACGCGATCTTCAAAAGAACATCAAACTATTGAGCACGCCACCAGCCAATAAGATTAATCGACAGATCTTGCCTCGGACAATGTCATCCCCTTTTATGCCAGATCTGACAAAAGATTTTTATTTGAGATCTATAGAAAAGGCGAAATCTTACATTTGTGAAGGTCAAAGTTACGAGATTTGTTTAACCACACAATTTCGAGCATCACTGACCGATCGTTTGCAGGATATATTTGGACTATATTATCGCATTAGATCGAATAATCCTGCGCCATTTTCGGCGTTAATTCATTTTTCAGCAGACGATATAACAATATTAAGTTCTTCTCCCGAAAAATTTTTACAAATAGACAATGAAGGAATAGTAGAAATGAAGCCAATTAAAGGTACAGTCGCAAGAGCAAAAGGATGCTGTTGTCCACGATCCGCCAATTGTAATGGAGGAGTACAATGTGAGTTGATAAGAAACAAAAATGACATGGAAAGAAAACGTTTCTTGGAAGGGGACATTAAAGAACAAGCAGAGAACTTAATGGTAAGAACACATTCTGTATGGGATGTGGCTTATGTTTTTAAAATGATCCCATGAAGAAAGATAAAGTTTATTAAACAGCTATTGGAAAAAATATGAAACAAAAAGTGTGACCTGAATTTGGTACAAATGTTTCTGAATTGCTCGAATATCACGAAATTCAATAATAATATTTTAGAAACATTCTATATTTGAAAAAAAATATATACAAATAATTTTTTCTTCAAATTGTGTATGTGTGGAAGTCTACATGTGACGAATTATCTATTAATTATTAATTATTTTTTCATTAGATAGTGGATTTAATTCGCAATGACTTAGCACAAATATGTCCGCCACATACCGTAAAAGTTCCTTATTTGATGAAAACAGAATCTTATGAAACCGTCCATCAACTTGTCACCACGGTTCGTGGAAATTTAAGAGATAGTTTAGATTGCATCAAAGCGATAAGGGGTTGCTTTCCTCCAGGTATAGTTTGTTTACACGGTATCTTTCCGATAAATATATGCGCATTGACTTTGTCATTTTGGAATTAAATTTAGGGTCGATGACGGGAGCGCCTAAATTACGCTCTGTGCAACTCCTTGATGAGTTAGAACATAATACTTCAAGAGGCATTTATTCAGGTTGCCTTGGATATATATCTCTGCAAGATGGGTCCGGAAAACAGAAAGGAACGGCCTGTTTCAATGTGATAATACGAACGGTGGTAGTTCGTAGTGGAAAAGGTATGAACTTTAATTACGTGCTCACAAAATCAAGTTTGACTAATGTATTTGGATTGTTTTTAGAAATATCGAT